TAATTCATCTCTTGTGTTCAATACTGACGAGGTTTGTGGCGGCGCTTGACAGGGATGGAATCAAGGCACCAGATTTTGGTGGAGTGATATATCAACGGCTGTAATGGGAGACCTGCCTTAATGTATTAATCTGCGTGATTCAGAGACGTGGTTGATATATGAACTTAGAGGTCCACCCATTTGGGGTAACCATACCTCAGGGCAATACGAGCGTCGTGCAGCGTAGTCTTGTCGTCGTTGATGATGTCGAGCTCGAGATGGGCGGGATGAACAATAAATAGATTTGATTCATAAGCGGCGCATGTCCTAACTAGGTAATGGGGTAGGAGAACGAAAAATCAAAGAGATCTAAGTAATAGAGGCGCGTCTCGACCTAACGCTCTGTGTCCGTGTCGGCACTATCCTCCTCGTCCTCCGTGTCCTCCTCGTCCTCCTCGCCATCACCCTGCTCGCTCTCATCATCGCCTTCGTTACCCGCCATTTCCGCGTCTTCCTCACTCCTCCCTCCCGCTCCATCCTCCGCTGCTGCCTCCGCTGCTTCCTCCGCTGCTGCCTCCGCTGCTGCTTTCGCCGCCGCTGCTTCCGCTTTCGCTAGATCTGCTCTCCCCGATGCGACAAAGACCGGCACCGATGCCCACTTTGCCTCAAAGCGCGTCGCAATAGCACGCAGCATGCGTGCCTGCCGCGTCGCATACGCATCATGACCCTCGCGCTGCCGTGCATCACCCAACAGCTCCGGGCGCATCTGGGCGTTGCTGTGGTCCTTCTTCGCATCCCACTCTGCTGCTCGCCACCTCAAGAACACAGGCACCCGTCGCATCTCCTCCTCAAGCAAGTCAACCTCCTCCGTGTTTCGCAGTCCTAGCGCGCGCGTCTTTGCCCATTCGATACGGAGGGCTGGATATATGTGTTAGGCAGCACCTTGTAGATCCACGCAACGAAACGCACCTTCAGCCATGGCGGGATTTCTATCGGCGTCGGCTGCGGAGCCATCCGCCAACCAAATCCACGAGATCGGCCGCTGCGCCTCTGTCCTTCGCCTCTTCTTCTGCGATGCGCTCTCCTTCCTCCGCTTTCCCGGGCGCCGGAACAATGCCTCCGGCATCTGGCGCACATCCTCCTCCAGCAGCACCTTCAAAACCCTCTCCCACCCCCTCTTCCCCAGCCGCTCACCCAACACCTCTAGCGCTTGCCTCGCGACGCGATATGTAGCCGACACCCGCTTGATTTCGTTGTTAATCGTCCCCAGCCGGGTGACTGAGCGCAGCGTGTCGCGGTTGCTGGCGCCGGCGTTGGCGTCCTTGTACTTGTACTCGTGCGTGCGCACGAGGAGCTGGTGACGCAGGTCGTGTAAGGCCTCGTGCGCCTGGCCCTCCCGCAAACGGAACTCGAACTCGCGCAGCTCTTGCATGCACGGGGTGTCCGCCTCCAGCGCGGACGGTAACAGCAGCCTGAGATCCTGCACCAGCTCGCCTGGCACTGGATGCGTTCCACCCTCCTCCTCGCGCGCCGCCGCTGCTGCCGTTCTCAGGACCGCGACTTCGGGCATGAACTGTGTCTGCGTCTCCATCCAGCTAAAGACCTTGCGGCGTGTCTTGCTGCAGCGTTCGAGCATCACGCACTTTTGTGTGAGCGTCGGATGGTTACCTGTGTCGGCCTGGTCGAATTTCACTTGACGCCTATATGGTATGTCAATAACATCCCACAAAAAGCATTGGTCGACTCACTGCTGCTCTTCGAGTTGGACCCCCATCGCCAGCATCTCCGCGCTATGCGTCCCCCCCCGCACGACACCCCCACCCTCCTCTGCCAGCTGGTAGCGAACGGACGCAATGCTGATCTGGTCTCGCTTCCGCTCAAACGGATTCGGCAGCATCGTATTCGCCTCCCAGGCGACAGACGTCGCCTTCCACTCCGCCAACGTTGCCTGCGGCAGCGTTCCCTCCTGCAGGAGGGTCTCCCGCCTCGCTTTCACCATCTCGGGCACGTAGTGCGCGATACGGTCGGCGAAATATTTCCCTGTGGACTATTAGTAATTGTCGCTTCAAGAGAATGTAACGGGTGCGTACCCATGCTCAGTATCTTCTTCCAGTTCCAGTCATTGAAGTGATCATCCAGAATCTCCCGCCGCAGGTGCGGCCCCATCTCCCTCGTGCTCAGCGCCAGCGGGTTGATGTTTGACCAGCCGCGCTCTGGCGCTTCCCCATCCGTCTGCCCGACGTATGGCGTGAGGAGGAACGAGAAGTTAATGGTGCAGGATTCGATGTGCGCCGGTAGATGGAATTTAGGAACCAAGAAGACGAACCACCGACGGCCGTTCTTCTCCTGGAGCTCTCGCGGGTAGATCTGCATGCGGTCCCAAATGTTCTTGTGCCACTGACAAGCGATGTCGTACGAAACAAAGAATTGCTGTAGGTCTGACTCGGCCAGACTCATGAAGAACATGTAGTCGATATTAAGGTATCTGTGGGCGCGCTCATCAGTAAGATTAACGAAGCACGCAATCGATGATCCACATACCGCTCCCCCTGTTGGAGGTCCCCAACGCCCCGCGGCCGTTTCATATTGTGCCGAGCACAATCCACGGTCGCAATGCCCGATGATGCCGTCCCTCGCACCTCCTTGTCCGGTGTATTGACTGCATCGTGCGCGACGCAGGTACTCTTCTGTAAAACCCAATCAGGATTTGTGGTGAGTAGCGCAACACCAAACGCGTACCGGCTGCGGCTGGTCCCAATTCTTCTCGAGGTGGGCCATATACGACGTCACCTCGCCGAAGAACGCGAGCCCGTTCCCAAGGTCGGGGTCTGCGGACTCGCTCGACACGTCTTTCCTTTGCATCCGGAAGTTGGCGTCGAGGGCGAGGAACAGGCCGTATAGAAACCTGCCCAAGGTCAGTCGCGCATAACTGAAATCGCTTCAGTCACTCACTTCCTCTCGGGCACTACGTCCTTCCACGCTGGCGGCAGATTCTTCCCGGGGTGTGGACAAGCTGGGCATTCAAGCGCGCAGCATCCCTCTTTGCTCGTTGCGATCCCATCCGTCTCGTGGCCACGAGCATGACGCTTCAATAGCTCAAGGTTGCGCCATTCGCGCGTCATGTTGATGAACTCCTGGTACCGCGTCTACAATTTCTCAGTCAGATAGGGCATATTTAGAATGAGAAGTCAATCATACCGGCGGCGGAGTGCCCGTGTTGTTCGTGTGCCGGGCCAAGCTGTTGTAGAACTCGCCCATCGAGCATTTCGACTCGAGGGACAAGATGTGATACCGCCGCATGACCCTGAAGGTCGAGGCCGTCCGCGGACGCCTCCCAGTCGAGGGCAGCCACTTGATTCGCAAAAGCTGTACTGGATACGATGGCCCCTTGCCACACGCGCAGTAGTACAGGTCTACCTCGTGGAGCCCATAGTCGTCGATAACGACAAAGTTTTTCTTCTTGTTGGCAGCGCGCTTCGGGGCGGGACAAATACGATCTTGGTGTAGCTCCCGCCCCAGATAGAAACGAAGACCGAGCGACTTGAGCGAGACGCGCTCGAAGCACCCCTCAGCCCAATTCCATTTCTGTCATCTCAAATAAGCACGCGAGATTCATACAGCAGCCATGAGACGCACCTCCACCCGGTGCAAAGGGTTGCTTGCGTGCTCGCGCACCATACACTCCGTCGCGAGGAGTTCACACCCATCGCAGTCCTGGCAGCGAACCTCGGCAACCCCAGAACTACAGTGTGGGTGGCCGCACACACATGTGGGATGCGCGACGTGGTCCCCGCGACCATCGCTCCGTAGAATCTCGTCGAGCCATTGGGCTCGATAATGCGTCTTCCAGGTCCTAACTGGGCGATACTAAACCAAGAAACGTCAGCCTCAACGACTTTTCCCAGAAAACAAGGAAGGTACTTACCGGCTCCCGCTTCCTTTTTGTCTCGGGCACCTCCGTCTCCGAACCGCTGTCTGACGAACCGCTGTCTGAGGATGACTCGGGGTCTGAGGACGACTCGGGGCCTTCCTCCCCCAAAGCCGCGACATCCTGGTCAGGCGTGAATGTCCAATCGTTATCCATGAAATCGTAGATCCAAGAGCCCGTGACGTCGTCGCGATTTGTATTGCTGGGGGGAACGGTGCGATGGGAGGGGGACGCAGGAGTCTTGAAGGTGACCACGGAGGACGTGAACACCGTGCGGCCCTCGGCGTTCCTCGACACAGTCTCGTAGAGGACTTCTTCAGAGCCGTTGGCGTCGCTGTCGTGAACCGGCCCAGGGGAGCCGTCAGAAGAGTCGGCGGCAGAGCTGCCCGAGGAGCTTCCCCCCGAGTACATTGTGGTGTCGGTCTGTTTGCGTTTGGACATTGGACGGAGGGAATAAATAACTAAATAAATGAGTAAGAGAGGGAGGGAAGAGGAAGGAAAAGATGGCAACCGTCAAGTAAACAACCCATTTCCTCAACATCTCAACGTCAAACCAGCGAAGACCACCAGGCCTGATGCGACAGGTCCGCAAGATGTCGACGAAGACCATCGACTCCGCGCTGTCGTTGCTCCTGGTGAAGAATAAATAAATAATTTTAAATGAGATGTGAGATATAAAACGTACTCCACATGCTCCCGGGGGTTGTCACTGGACCTCGTCAGGACCACGAGTGGTTCGACGGGGTTGTCGCTGGACCTCGTCAGGACCACGAGTGGTTCGACGAGGTCGTTGGCGGGTGGCAACTGCGCTGAGGCTGTGTCCAGCTTAGTCAGCGTCGGTACTTCCCGCCAACCAACATGGATTTCAGTTGTCTCTAGAAAATATTCATTACACAGACCATAGGCACATCTTGAGCACACAATAAACACATAAAGTGAATGAAAGCAATTGTATTGAGGACAGTGATACAAAGCTAAAACGACGGGCAAAACGACGCGCACAAAAAATGAAGCGCCGAGACCGCTGCTCCCTGCCAGAACTTCCAGTCCACTGGGAGCGGAAGTTCTGCAGGGAGCAGAAGTCTCGTTGCTTGGCCCATGCCCCGGTTCGAACGAGGAGCTACCAACAACGTTTCAAAGACGATTGAAGACCATGTTACCACTACACCACATGGGCGTTGCGATTCAAGCGAAGGAGAAGGCTACGATCTTTGATTAGTACGGCTCGGATGAAATAAAAAAAAAAGCACATGCCCAAGTACGATTAACCCGAAGCGCGACCAGTCAGTATTCACCATCCCACTCGTCCCAGAGCAGCGACGACTCGCTGCTCAAATCCTCCTCCCATCCCTCGCCCAATAACTGCGCACGCGCCGCCTGCTCCTCCAGAATCCACCGGCGACGACGAAGACCCTCGAGCGAGGAGGGATCGTCTGGGAAACCCTCGAGGAACGAAACACCGTCGGTGAGTGATGGACCCGTGGAGAGCGCCACGGGACGGCCCTGCGCCTGTAGCGAGTGGTAGAGGGAGCGGGCGTTCCCCAGGTCGTCAAACACAACACCCTGCCCGTTGCTGCCCACAGCATACGCCATCTTTCCGGGCAGGGGTACGCGTGTGGGTGAACGGTGTGGGTAAGAGGTTTCCGCGGGCGCCGGTGCATGGGTGTTGTAGACACGCCTCGCGGGGGGAGGCGCAGGCAACGGCGAAGGAGTACCGGTCGTGAAGGAGGCCGAGGGAAGACGTCGTGACGCGGTCTTGCCGGGCGCAGGCGACGGCAATGGCGACAAAGACCTGGTCGCAGAGGGGGAAGCCGAGGCCACACGGCTGCGCGCAATGTTGACGGGCGCCGGCGCAGGTGAGGACGGAGGTGAGGATGGAGGGGAAGCTGCAGGAGACGCTGGAGGAGAGGTGGGTGTGGGCGAGGATGGAGGAAATTTGAGGGGCGACATAGGAGGCACATGAACCACAGACGACCCTGAAAGTCGATTTAATTACAAAATGCAGACACCAATACGCATTTTGACCTACTGCGACGTGGGCTAGTGGAAGGATGTGAAGACATCGAGGTTGGCGATGTGGTGGATTGAAGCGGACACGCCGGATGATCGTGCTCTCCGCGGTCGCATCCAGCAAACCAGGCGCTCTCCAGGACACTCCAGTTGGCGTAGCCCTTGGCAGTGGCACCCGAGACCTTGTTGTATTGCGCGTCGGCGCTGGACCTAGAACAGTCCGTCTCAGCTGCGCCTCAATTCTTGACAAATTTTGAAAATACCAAGAATTGTACGCTCCGGGGCGAATCACATTCTTGCCGACGACGAGATAGAACTTGTCTCTCTTGCTGGGCGTTTGCGGTTGACCGGGGTCGGGGTAGAAAGGAACGGGGCAGCGGAACTTGGAGGACATGGAAGAGCGGAATAAAGAGGTGATGGTGCGCCCACAGACCCAAAAAGGAAATCCCAGCGAACTCTCTCAATTCCACAAAAGCAGAACTCTCTCAATTCCACGAACCAGAAGGCACAAAATTATTCTACGCTCGCTCGCGGCCCGCCTGGCGGGCTATCGCCGCCCTCGACACCTTCACCACCCGACGGAACAACTCCATTTTTTGGCGCTCCAGTTCCGCCGCCTTCACCTTCTCCTTTGCCATGCGCTCCTTCTCCTCTTCCTCCTCGCTCTTCGTCTGCAACACATACGACTTCTCCCGGTGGCGATGGAGCGCTAGATACGCCTGCGGGATGGTACTCTTCGCCCTCATCTTCATCAACGCCTCCACCCCCGCACGCGCCCTCTCAGTCTCGGCCATCTTGACCATCAACCTCTGGCGCACGGCCTTCTCGCCATCTCCAGGGGCGCGTCCGTCGGCGCGCGGTTTGGGGATTATTGACGGATCGAGCCACACCTCGAGACCTTCCGCAGGTTTTCCAGTTCGCAGCGTCTCTGGATTATATGTGAGTGAAATCCGCGACTGTTTGGAATGAATCAACAAACCTCGCTTCAAATACCAGGATACGGCGTCACCTGCCACTGAGGAGGCAGCCTCCAGCCTTTTCAAAGCGGCTGCTTCGGATTCCTTCACGCGCAATCTCTCGCGAATGGCCTTCTCGCCGGCTCCAGGGACGCGTCCAGGGAATGCAGCAGGAATGACCGACGTCCAGATCTTCAGTCCGCCGACGTCCGCGGTCGCAGTGGGCGTGTCCACGAACAGGACGTTGTCGTGCTCCGCGTTCATGGACGTGTCTGTGCCGTGCTTCAGCTCCTGCTCACTCGGGGCTGCAAGACTTGACCATACCGTCGTCGACGATGAGGTCGGCGTCTGCTTGCAGGATGTCTTGCATGGGCTGGTGATGAGGGTCGTGTCCAAAGATGGGTGGAACGGTTATGCGATACAGACAACGTATGGCTTCACATTTTTCGCTCCAGGATATTGATATATCAATTACAGGTTTACTATCTCCATCGAAGATTTTCGCCCCCCCCCTTGCTCACCCAGATCTGGGTTGCCCACGGTTACTGCGCCCGCGCTTGCGCTTCCTCGCGCACCTGATATCGCATTCGGTAAGAAATGCCTGCACTTGGGGCTGCGCAGCTAATTTAGGGTTGTGTCTAGATTGCACGGGTGACGGTCCACTCGTCCGCGTCCCCAACATACATGGCGCTCTCTGTGCCCTCGTTCAACGCCAACCAGATCGCTCCCCCTTCCTGGATGTAATGGAACCCATCTTCCGCTGGCGGCAAAATCCCGCGAGCGCCCCTGAGCCGAATTCGGGCGCCAAGTCCCATCACAACAAGGGATATGGGTGCGCGCGCCGCCATCATCTCCCCATTGCGCAACCGCTTCTCTTCGGCCGCAATCATGCGCTCCTTCGCGATCGCGACAGCCTCCGCAATGGCGATCCTCACAGGAGCACGCGCCCTCTCCGCCTCCTCGCCCCGCCTCTGCGCGTCCTCCGCGACACCCGCCTCGTATTGCGCGTCAATCTGAGCCAGTGTCGGAACGATCAGACGTGGCGGCACATTGAAGTCCATCCAGCCTTGCGGATCCTCGCTGAACCATTGATTGTCGGCAAGTTTCCAGGCGGCGCCGCGGTCTCGGGGCTTTCCACAGGTGCAAAGGGTGATGGGGTAGATCTCGCGATCACAGCGCCTGCAATCGAAGAGCGGGCGGCGCCGGTGGGTTCTCAAGCGGGGAGTGGCGGCAGGAGGCGGGTTGGGTGGGGAGGTGGGGAAGGGGAAGCTGTAGTTGTTTGGAGTCTTGACCGGCGGGCGCTTCGGGGCATCTCTGAGTGCCTGCAGCTCCTCGAGAGCGCTCAGGTGCCCTATGATCTCTGAGTTTCTTATGAAGTGATACACAGTGCCATTTACTTACTCTTGTTTTTACGCTCTTTTTGTGCTGCTCTTGTATCTGCGTTCGCAGCTAACATGACAGGCCCGATGGCCATGTACTTCTTATTTCCGGGTTCCATTTGAGAGCTTGACAAGAGCAAAAGACAAGAAACGATTGTGTATTACGACGTATCTATATGGGAATATACATGCGACTAAGGAAGGCGTAAAATTCAGATACAGAGAGTGCCAAGTGCAGTCTGCCGATCTGCATCCAACTCGGAACGTTTCGAAAAGAGATTCAAAGCCCATCGCCACCGCGACCCCGGCGGTCCATCAAAAGACGCGATAAGGGCATCGCCGCCCGTGGCCAACAGGCTTTTCGCAGTGCGAAATCCGTAATGAACCCAGCGAAAGAGCCCGCCAGCAGCATATTGGGTGAAGGAGATGCGGCGCTCTCCAGGCTGCGTCGGGGTGTTGCCATGTTCGATGAAGCCGGAGGGAATGAGTGTCGTCGAGCCCGATGGGAAATCGATGACGAGGTTGAGCTGCTTGAGGTAGATCTGGCCGCCGACGGTGTGATCAAAATTACCGCCGGAGGTTATGCCGCAGAGTCCGGGAACAAAGTTCTGAGTGTCGATATGTCCGTCGGTGACGACGTTGGGGCCCAAATTGAAGCTCGCGGCGGGGAACAGGGAGTTCATGAAGAGGTGCTGGAGGTTCTTGTCGTGATCGAACAGCTTCTGCAGTATGTCGACGTAATAACGCCAGAGTTTGGGGGCATATCGAGCCATGCCACCTAGATATCAATGTGAGTTCACGGTCAGCGCAGCTAGCGAAAGGCCACTCACTTGATTGGAAGCCAGCAAGTCAGCAGACACTTTTGTTTCGAAGAATATAATTGACGAGTTTTTGACGCGGTCCATTGACAAGATTGCCAGGACGCTGAATGTGTGAGGTCAGATGGTGATTCTCCGACGACAACAACAACTCACCTTCTGTCCCCCGCCAAAGGAAACCCCCGCAGTGAGAACTGCATAACGTCCTCGCCGGTGACGTGTATCCCTCGGGCGAAACCAACTTCCGCGTCGGCCGGCGCGTCGGACGTGTTCGAAGACCTTGCAAACCTCTTGAATAACAGCATCCCAGTCGGGATCCTCGGGGCGTCCGAGTAGGATGGCAATGATCCGACCATGGACATCGAGGATGAGTTTGGGGGCCCTGACGTCTCGTTAGCCTGGGCGCAAATAGTGATGCAGTGGGAGGTGCTCACCGTCCCTTCCATCGGATATGGCGGGCACCGTTGCGCAGCAGTCCCTCGAGAGTCTCGCGGCGACGCGTTGTCTTCGGCGACTCTGGGCTAAAGCCAGCCCACGCCCCGGCATCGGACTTGTACGCAGGCGTAGGGTCAAAGTCCGTTGCCACAGGACTCTCCTCCCTCCAGTTCTGGGTGTGCTTTGCATGCATGCGTCGTGCATACGGGGTGGGGGGGCTGGTTTCAGCTGCCTCAGCGCGCCGCTCGCGGCGTGTTTTGTACTGGTGCAGACGCCGCCGGCGCCGTTCCACGCTACCCGGGACAGGCTTGTTTTTGGAGGTCCTGGACAACGATGATGACCTGAGCACAACATGAGCAGGTGTTTGTGGTGAGGTGCGTGAGGTACTTACATGGGAGGAGGGTCACGAATAGGCAGCGGAGCATCAGACTGCTCGAGGTCCGACAGGTCGAGGTCACGAAGAGGTCCTTTCGACGAGGAAGGGCTAGTGTAACATCAGCGCGTGGTTTGGGCTAAGGTACGGGAGGTACATACATGGGGGAGCGGTCGGGAAGGACAGGAAGGACAGGTAGAGCGTCG